AAATGCCATATGTGTGCCGGAAAACCACATGCTCAGCAAAATTGTGAGATTTGAAAAAGAACTAGTGAGAGTTGGGTGGACTTAAAATCTGTTATTTGATAACCAAAATATGAAAAATTAATGGGAAAAATTATTCCTGCCTTACGATAACCTGGGGAGTGCTATACTTCAAAATTAAACTCACTACCATGGAATCAATTGTCATCCTGAAAGTCAGGATAGAACTGCCCTTGGTGGGGTTCAGACTGTAACTACAGGAGTAGAAAGCCTTGTTTTTTGCTCTTGGAGCCGCTGGTGGTTTCGAACTGCTGACTTTACAGTAAGCAGGCCAATGCACAACCACTGTGGTTAAGAGCTCCAGGGAGAGACCAGGCTTTCTGCCCTTGTAAACCGTTAGTCTCAAACTCACAGGGGCAGTTCTACCCTGTCCTCTAGGATCGCTGGCATCAACTCGGTGGCAGTGAGGGAGATTCTCTTTCCAAGAGCAGCTGTTTCTCTCAGTCAGTGGAAAGTGCTGTCAGTGTAGCTTTTGAGATGGGAGGGCTTTTCCCTGCAGAATTGAGTTCCAGCTATGTGCTCCCCTAGGGAAGATGAAACAATGGCATCCATAGCTTTCTGACACCATTTTCCTGCTGATTGATTACAAATGAGTGACTTAGGAAAGTCCCAGAACAGTACAGTTTTACTTAGAGGTTTATAAAATGAGGAAAGGAAAACAACCATTGCACTTTTCTGTCAAGGCGTGATTGCCCTGTTCTTTACGTGTTCTAGGTAGGGAATGGGTAATCCTTTATAAATGAAAATATTTTAAGTGATGTATGTATAATGCCATTTAAGCTTTCTTAAAAGTAATGTTTTAATGATCATATTGAGTTGTCAACTTAATCATTTGGTGTTAAATCTTTGCTTCTTCCAGTAACTTCATATCCAGTGATTAAAACTTCTTCACTGCTGTTCACATACTGAACCGTTGTGATTATCAAGTATTTAAATGAGGATATGCAAGCTATTTAAAGACTGCTTTTTTTTTAAGACATGGATCATTGCACAAAATAATTAAAACTCTTTTCAGGAATTATTTACGTGATGATACTGAAAAACACCTGGATTGTGCAAAGT